TACAAACAAGCAAGATTTCTGGCTCTCACAGACCTGTAACTTCTTCTTTAAGAGGCTCCTCTGTCCTCCACTCGTTACCTGTATTAATGGCACCTGTTTGAACTTGTTATCAGTATAAAAGACACCTGTCCACAACCTCAAACAGTCACACTCCAAACTCCACTATGGCCAAGACCAAAGAGCTGTCAAAGGAGGTGGTCCTCTGTAGCTCAGCTGGTAGAGCACGGCGCTTGTTATGCCAAGGTAGTGGGTTCGATCCCCGGGACCACCCATACACAAAAAAAAAAAATGTATGCACGCATGACTGTAAGTCGCTTTGGATTAAAACATCTGCTAAATGGCATATTATTATTATTATTATATTAAAAGGACACCAGAAACAGAATTGTAGACCTGCACCAGGCTGGGAAGACTGAATCTGCAATAGGTAAGCAGCTTGGTTTGAAGAAATCAACTGTGGGAGCAATTATTAGGAAATGGAAGACATACAAGACCACTGATAATCTCCCTCGATCTAGGGCTCCATGCAAGATCTCACCCCGTGGGGTCAAAATGATCACAAGAACGGTGAGCAAAAATCCCAGAACCACACGGGGGGACCTAGTGAATGACCTGCAGAGAGCTGGGACCAAAGTAATAAAGCCTACCATCAGTAACACACTACGCCGCCAGGGACTCAAATCCTGCAGTGCCAGACGTGTCCCCCTGCTTAAGCCAGTACATGGCCAGGCCCGTCTGAAGTTTGCTAGAGTGCATTTGGATGATCCAGAAGAGGATTGGGAGAATGTCATATGGTCAGATGAAACCAAAATAGAACTTTTTGGTAAAAACTCAACTCGTCGTGTTTGGAGGACAAAGAATGCTGAGTTGCATCCAAAGAACACCATACCTACTGTGAAGCATGGGGGTGGAAACATCATGCTTTGGGGCTGTTGTTCTGCAAAGGGACCAGGACGACTGATCCGTGTAAAGGAAAGAATGAATGTGGCCATGTATCGTGAGATTTTGAGTCAAAACCTCCTTCCATCAGCAAGGGCATTGAAGATGAAACGTGGCTGGGTCTTTCAGCATGACAATGATCCCAAACACACCGCCCGGGCAACGAAGGAGTGATTTCGTAAGAAGCATTTCAAGGTCCTGGAGTGGCCTAGCCAGTCTCCAGATCTCAACCCCATAGAAAATCTTTGGAGGGAGTTGAAAGTCTGTGTTGCCCAGCGACAGCCCCAAAACATCACTGCTCTAGAGGAGATCTGCATGGAGGAATGGGAGAAAATACCAGCAACAGTGTGTGAAAAGCTTGTGAAGACTTACAGAAAACTTTTGACCTGTGTCATTGCCAACAAAGGGTATATAACAAAGTATTGAGAAACTTTTGTTATTGACCAAATACTTATTTTCCACCATAATTTGCAAATAAATCCATTAAAAATCCTACAATGTGATTTTCTGGAGAAAAAAAAAATCTCATTTTGTCTGTCATAGTTGACGTGTACCTATGATGAAAATTACAGGTCTCTCTCATCTTTTTAAGTGGGAGAACATGCACAATTGGTGGATGACTAAATACTTTTTTTCCCCACTGTATGTGGGATTGTGAATTTCCTTGTTATATCGATGTGGTGGTGCAATATGACTATTATATTTGCTGTAAAGAAATCAGGACCAGGGAAAGATGATGCACCCAACCAAAAAGCGTGCCTGTAGAACTGTCCGCATAACTAATATGGTTGTACATTTGTGTTAGAACCCTGCAACTATTTTACTGGCCTTAAAGTCAAATTATCCAGAAAACCTTTTCAACTGTTTAGTTGTTCCTATGCATGTGTTCATGCTATCCTGCTGTTTACTCAAGGAAAACTGTTTGCCTGTTCAAAATAAAAAGTTGAATAATATAGGTGGCAATAGCCTACTCTAGTCTTTTGATGTGAACTAGAAAATGTGAAGAACCGAGATTTGGTAGAGAAAATTGAATAGAGAAAATGTGGTAAAACAGTCTAGTGCGCCTGTTTTGCGCACTAGACTGGTTACGCTGGATTACGGAATAAACTCTGTATACTGTGATTTACCCTCCTGCGCCTGACTCCTTCAAATCACGCATCACGCATCACAGAATCTCCCACCAACTATGGAGTCAGCGGGAGAGGAGCGCATGCCTGGATTCGTGGCACGGGTCCAGGAGCATTCAACAATGCTAGCCAGCTTGGGAGAAGCGATGGATCAGGTTCTCCAATGCCTGGAGAGGAGAGGACCCGATCTGTCAAGACCAGCTGGGCAACCGGATCCAGCCACCCACACCCCAGCGGGATCCATATATCCCGACCACGGGAGTTCGACGGGAAAGCTGCTCTCTGCCAAGGATTCCTCCTCCAACTGGAACTCTACTTCTCCAGCATCAGGCCGGCCCCATCGGAGCGGGAGAAGGTGTCCGCCCTCGTCTCCTGCCTCTCGGTGGAAAGCCCTGGAGTGGGCCAACGCGGTCTGGAATGAAGGAGGAGCCGTGTTGGACAACTGAGGGGAGTTCGCTCGCCTCTTTCGGGCTGTCTTTGATCATCCGCCAGAAGGTCGAGAGGCGGGGGAGCGGCTGGTCCACCTGAGGCAGGGGACAAGGACTGCGCAGGACTTCGCCTTGTAGTTTCGGACTCTAGCAGCTGGGTCCGGGTGGAACGAGCGGGCCCTTATCGACCACTTCCGGTGCCATCTGCGGAAGGACGTCCGAAGGGAGCTAGCCTGCCGGGACACCATGTTGTCCTTCACGCAACTGGTGGACATGGCCACACTATCATACATCCCGGGTATGAAGAACGTGAAGGCAGACACATTGTCATGGCTGTATGACACAGAGGAGAGGCCCTGAGACAACACCCCGATACTCCCGGCCTCCTGCAATGTGGCACCGGTAGAATGGGCGATGGACGCGGATATAGAACAGGCGTTACGCACAGAGCCATCTCCACCTCAGTGTGCCTGCTCTTATCCGTGATCGTCTGATCTACTGAGCACACACATCACCCTCCTCTGGTCACCCAGGTATTGGTCGTACAGTGCGCTACCTGACCGGAATGTACTGGTGGCCTACCTTGGCTAAGGACGTGAGGGTGTATGTCTCCTCCTGCTCGGTGTGCGCCCAGAGTAAGGCACCTAGGCACCTCCCAGCAGGTAAGTTACAACCTTTACCAGTTCCACAACGACCATGATCTCACCTGAGTGTTGCTTTCCTTACCGATCTTCCCCTCTCCCAAGGTAACACCACCATCCTGGTCGTTGCGGACCGCTTTTCCAAGGCCTGTCACCTCCTTCCTCTGCCCGGTCTCCCCATGGCCCTGCAAACTGCGGAGGCCCTGTTTACACACGTCTTCCGGCACTACGGGGTACCAGAGGATATAGTGTCTGACCGGGGTCCCCAGTTCACATCCAAGGTCTGGAAGGCGTTCATGGAACGTCTGGGGGTCTCGGTCAGCCTGACCTCTGGTTTCCACCCCAAGTCTAATGGGCAGGTGGAACGGGTAAATCAGGATGTGGATAGGTTCCTGCGGTCCTACTGCCAGGACCGACCGGGGGAGTGGTCTCTGTTCTTGCCATGGGCCGAATATGCCCAGAACTCTCTCAGTCACTCCAATGTGTTTTAGGTTACCAACCGGTTCTGGCACCGTGGCACCAGAGCCTGACCGAGGCTCCTGCGGTGGATGACTGGTTTCGGCGCGCGGACGAGACGTGGGGACGCTTCCCACGTCCACCTCCAACGCGCCATGCGTCGTCAGAAGGCCAACGCTGACCGCCACCGCAGTGAGGCCCCGGTCTTCGTACCGGGTGATCGGGTCTGGCTCTCGACCCGGAATCTGCCCCTCCGCCTGCCCTGCCGGAAGCTGAGCCCACGGTTTGTGGGGCCGTTGAAAGTCCTGAGGAGAATCAACGAGGTTACCTATAGGTTATTACTCCCCCATGATTACCGTATTAACCCCTCGTTTCATGTATCTCTCCTCAGGCCGGTGGTGGCTGGTCCGCTCCAGGAGTCTGAGGTGCAGGAGGTCCCTCCGCCTCCTCTGGACATCGAGGGGGCCCCGGCGTACTCCGACCGTTCCATCCTGGATTCGAGGCGTCGGGTGGGGGGCCTTCAGTACCTCGTGGAGTGGGAGGGGTACGGTCCGGAGGAACGGTACTGGTGAGGGATATCCTTGATCCCTTCCTGTTGCGGGATTTCCACCGTCGCCATCCGGCTACCCCTGCTCCGTGTCCTCCTGGCCGTCCCCGAGGCCGGGGTCGGCGCGCTGCTGGAGCTGCGCGTCAAGGGGGGGGGGGTACTGTCACGACTTCCTCCGAAGCTGCCTCCCCTCCTTGTTCGGACAGGCTTCGGCGTTCGTCGTCACCGGCCTTCTAGCCACTGCCGCTCCATATCTCATCATTCCTTTTGTCTTGTCAATTACACACACCTGGTTCATATTCCCCTCATTAGTATGTGTTTAAGTGTTCCCTCTGCCCCCTTGTCCTTGTGGGTGATTGTTCTTTGTGAGGATTAGTAGCTCGGTTGAACTAAGTATTTTGTATTGCCGGGGTATTTTCCCCGTGTGCATGTTTGTTCCAGTGCGCCTGTTTTGCGCACTGGACTGGTTACGCTGGATTATGGAATAAACTCTGTATACTGTGATTTACCCTCCTGCACCTGACTCTTGAAAGTTGTAATAGCAGAATGCACAAGGTGCAATTTCGAAATTGGGTGGTGCATCATCAGTTCCTCTTGTAATGATAGTCATTGCATACCTTAGAGAGTTATTTATAACTTGTCAGAAATAGCCCATGTCAGCAAAACAATTTTTTATTTAGGTTTTTTAGCCCATAGATAGTAATTTTTTAGACACTCAAATATCACATGAATACACATTAGACATGGCAAAATGTATAGAATATGAAGAGAATTTGCTTTAAAAGTGCAATATTTTCTTTGCACCCCATGACAAAATGTGTAGAATAGCAGGAAATAAGCTGTGGGCGCAGGGGTGTGTGGGATATTCCCCAATGCTGGAAGGGGGCCCCCGAGTGAAACAGTTTGGGAACCCCTGTGCTAAATGACCAAATGTTAAATGTTAAAATTGCTACATAATCACTGAATTCCTATGAAAGATTATCCACTGTGAGAATGGTCCATTCAAGACTCTCCCCATAACTCTTGTAAAATCCAAACTGTCAGACATTAGATCTGTCAACATTAGATTAGGGCTACCATAATAGTTGACATAGTTAATCACAAGTCCATTTATTCAATGGCGTCTGCTACAAAAAGGCTTTTATCTTCCGGAAAGCTGAATGTTCTTTCTCTTTACCTGGTATGTGCTACTCTATGAATGTGCTTACTCTCTGCCTGGTATTATTTGCATGCACTGACAAAAGCCCCTAATTTTACTATCCACAAGCTGCTAGTGTAAAGTGAAAAGAGGCTCTGATGGTAGCTTATCAAATAGCACCAATGTTCCATGACAAGATATTTGGAGGGTGTAAATCACCCTGAACCTTATATACGGTATACTTACTATGACGAGTTGGCTGAATTCTGTTCACCTCACTGGTTAGTTGTTCAATTGCATTTTACTAATAAAGTACACATGCTTCAGAGGAATTAATCAAATATGTTTTTCTCAGAATATGCCTGGATCATCGTTGTTTAGCATAATTTAAGGGCACTTTGTGTTACATGGGTCTCCTGATAAAAATAAACTATACACACTGACCAAGGGAAACATGGTGACGGCACCCATCAAGGAGCCCAACTGCACCACTGCTCCACACCACACGAGAGCACTGTGGCCCTCATCACGGAGGATCACTCCAATGATCACCTTAACATAGGACAAAGTGAGGACGAAGAGGATCCAGGAGCCCACCTGAGAGAAGGGACAAGTATAACATTTACTTATTCAATCCATTGTAATCTTTACAATATACTGTATGTGTAATAATTATTTCCATGAGATGTAGAGTCCTCTATGTTATGCTTTCATCTGTAGCATATAACTACAGTGGGGTCCGAAATGATTGACACCCTTGATAAAGATGAGCAATAATGACTGTATAAAATAAATAATCCACATACTGAGCTATATGGGTTGTTGTTTTTTAAAGGGGAAATTATCATATTTTATACTAATACAATTGCTCAGAGAATGAGATTTTGTTTAACAATTAATACATTTGTTTCTCAAAAGGTAGGTGTCAAAATGATTGACATCCTTAAAGATTCTTATAAATAAAGTAGTCAAAAGTTTAGTATTTGGTCTCATATTCCTAGCACGCAATGACTACATCAAAATTGTGACTATACACACTTGTTGGATCTATTTGCAGTTAGTTTTGGCTGTGTTCTATTTTGTGCCCAATAGAAATGAATGGTTAATAATATATTGTGTCATTTTGGATTCACTTTTATTGTAAATAGGAATAGAATATAAACACTTCTACATTAAATGTGGATGTTACCATGATTACGGATAATCCTGAATGAATTGTGAATAACCAATGAGAAAGTTAGATTGTCAAAGGTCACACCCCCAATACATGCTAACCTCTCAGCATGAGGGGGGAGGTTAGCATGTATTTTTTTATTTAAATTTTTTTTTTTGGGGGGGGGCGGGGATGGATCAGCTTAATATTGCAGATATATTGTATCTTCTATCAATGTAATTGTCTGCATCACTTCCAATCCCCCATGTTTTTTATATATATACTCCCCTTTATTACTTTTCAACCCCGCCATCCTTTCCCTACTTGGAGTAAATTAGTGAACAACAATGCTCAGGCCTCTACTTCCGGTCTATACTTACTATCTACACCTTATGGACACAGTTCATTTTACAATAATTCTATTATATATATTTTTATTTTTTTTTTTGCTCCTGAACTTCTTCTACTCTCAACCTCTCCGATCATTTTCATGATGTCCATCCGGTTTTATATAATAATTTAAATTGAAAGATTCAAATTTTTGAATCCGGTGTCGTTTTGCGTGTCAGTTCATAAACACTATGCCATGGGATCGGTACGTCAAAGATCTCTTCCCAACTATTTTGCAATCTATATGGGACGGCTGTCAATCCTTTGGCCCTTAAGTGAAACTGATATACTTTTTTATTTATCACAGTTTTCCTTAACCAATTATGTTATTTAATGCAAGGCCGACAGACAAGTTCCTTACTTTCTCCCCTTTCCACTTTCCTCTTCCACTTTTGCGGTAAGGCTGCAAAAATGTGGTTGTAATTTTGGGTAGAGCAGACATTTCCATATGTTTTTGTTAGCTGCATGTGTGACATAACTCCACCAGTCCTACCGATGATATCATTTACGAAGATTATACCTTTTTTAAACATTCTGTCAAAAAAATAAAGGTTTTTTGTCAATTAGTATATTTGAATTTAACCACAATATTTGTTGCATTATTTGTTCTGTCGTTTCTGGAGGATTAAATTGAAATTGCAACCAACTTTCTATGGCTTGTTTTAGAAATAGTGATATTTGGGAGATGATTTCCTTCTCAAATAACTGCAAATGAGTTGTTGTAATCTGAATAAAGGGAAAAAGGCCTTTCTTGAACATTGGGTGAGACAATATTACTAATTTGCTTGAGAACCAGTTCGGATTTAAGTATAACTTTTGTATGACTGAAGCTTTTAGTGATAGTTCTAATGCTTTAATATTTAATAATTTCTGTCCCCCGAATTCATATTCATTATATAAATATGCCCTTTTAATTTTGTCTGGCTTGCCGTTCCAAATAAAATTGAATATTTTTTTCTCATATAATTTAACGTCTTGGGGGTATGATCTTTGAACCTTTTTTTTGCCTACAATATACAGTAACTAAGTATTTGAATTATTTATTTTATAGTCATTATTGTGCATCTTTATCAAGGGTGTCAATAATTTCCGACCACACTGTACATTATGAATTTATGTTGTGGAAACTTACAATGAGGAAGGTTCCTGAGGTTTCGTTGACCAGCAGAGGACATGGACTCAGCACTGCCATGCCTATGATGTAGGCTCCAACCCCACTGCCAACCACCGTGAGAGCCCCCAACAGCAATAAGGACCTGTGAAAGGATGACAGTAACATTATCAGTATTAGTGGGTTAGGAGGTGCAGTTGAATAAAAGTCCCATTTTGTTTGCCACAAAATAAGCCTACAAATAGGCCTACATATATTAAGTTGATAATGTGTAAATTAAATAACGATTCATTCATATTTATTGGAAATACATTTGAACAAAACTGACCTTGCTGGGAAAAACATGGCAATGAAGCAGGCTAGAGGGTTGGACACTGCAGCCATGGTGGCTGATAAGTGGTAGGCACTGTTTCCATAGGGCAGACAAGAGTAGGACTGCACTGAGGGAAGCACAACGTTAGTCAGGCCATTGACCCAGGCCAGGATGAAGAACATGTACAGCACCTGTATCCAGCTGTACGTCCCGGTCCAAAAGTTGCTTTTGGGCTTGATATCAGACTGTTTGATCATGGGCTTCTGCTCTGTCGGGTTCTTCTGAGCTGCCTCGCCTTTCTCCAGCACCCCGTTAGGGTAGCGAGCATTTGGGCGTTCCCGGGCCACGGCAGGGTGGTAGTTCAGCAGGATGAAGGCTCCCAGGCACACCAACATCATGGCACTGAGGAAGAAGAAGAACACCTCAGCTGAGAAGTTGGCCGGCTGGTATTGGGCCTGCAGTTCGTAGCTAACACTAACTGAGCCAGTGTCATTTATCATCCGAGTGCTGTTGTTACAGTGGACCACCCCCACCCCCTGGATCAGGGCTACCAGGGCGGGTAGCAGGCCACTGACACCCTCCCCCACGAAGTAGGTGGTGAGGGTACTGGGGCTTCAGACGCATCATGAAGGGCAGGAAGGTGACAGAGGAGGTGCAGTCCACAGTGGAGAGGAAGAAGGTAAGGAGGAGGAGGGCCACGCTGCGTGGGACGCCCACCACCACCAGCGTCTCCTTCCAGAAGAAGGCCAGGAGAAAGCTGGCCACCATGCCCAGGGAGATGATCACATAGATGACCACTGTCTCGTTGAGCGCCCTGGGGCGGAAGCGGTGCATGAGGGTGATGAACAGGGGCCCCACGTTGGCCATCTGGATGAGGACGGATAGGTAGGATGGCAGGTACCAACCCTCTGGGATCTGGGGCACGATGAGAGGCAGCTCTACCCATAGTCCATTGATGGACACCCAGGAGCCCATGCCAAACAGGCAGGCCAATATATGGATGAAAAGTGACATTGTGAATCTGGGTGCTGAACACTGGTGTGCTCGCAAGTGGGTTCTAGAATGAGATAGAAATAAATGAGTTAGGGCAGTACAAAATACAATGAAATTATCACATTAGATTATATTTATACTTTGTCTGTTATTCACAGAAATGTACTTTGCATATAGAAAAAAGCAATGTGTTCTAATGTTGAATTGATGCAACACTTGAGGTATAAGAGTAGAATGCCAAATCCACAACAATGGCCCACACAAACACGTGTCTTGACCACATCTAGTTGAAAACGAGACATTGTCTCACTCACCCCGTGCAGCTGGTAAGGAATACTCCTTCCAGGTTAGTGACTTATTCCTGTGTTTACTCAATGATTGCTCTGGTATGTGACATTTAGTACCCCCATAATCTAAAAAGTCTACTTAAAATCTAAGTGCATTTACTTTCTCTACTGAAAGTGCAGGCTATTGGTTGAAATGCAGGTAAACACACTAATGGCTTAAAACATAACCATGATGTTATTGGTTAAAATGCAGGCTTGTAGCACTTTAGTAAACATTATCATGATGTCTATGATGGTTGGGAACCATTGTCCCTTTACCATACATTAACCATAAAAGTTATAAAATCGTGTTAGTCATCCAATGCTGACCCCGCACATTTCACCTTAGTTTAATCCCTTTTCAGCTAAGCAAATACCAAACATTCTTTCCTGGTAGTTATTAGTAGCTGAATATATTTAGGAGCCAAGTGGCTCAACTCATTGAGAAAAGAGTCTACTTCTGGTAATGTAAAAAAAATACATGCCAAATGATTTCCCAGTATTATTTAAGACAGGATTCAATCTCAGGTGTGTTATAGAGCTGTCTAGTGCGCTGTTCTACAACATGCTTTGGATTGAATCTCGGCCTTACATAAATACATTTTAAAACGTTGGGTTTTGTAACCGAGGGTCCAGTGTCGTCTGAATGTGTGTTGATTTTGGCCACTTAAACCTGCAGTGTCATCTGGGAGGTGATTCTTATCAGTTGAAGCTCTCTACTAAAGATGACAATGTCGAATTCTTACAGATTTTTACAAGGCTTCAGATGTGGAGTAACAAATGATTATGTAAAAAATGCATTAGTGGAAATCACTTTCTGATGCTTTCAATACTGAAAGACCTGCCCAATATACCTTGTGACAAAGTTAATTGGACACTGGACACTGTCAGGGTTGCATTTCCTTACTCTACTTAAAATATCACCATGAATCAGCCTAAAGGTAACATTTGTTACTTATACTGTAAAAGTATTGTATAACTACTATGAAAACATCTGAGCAGGATATTTTTTATTGACAAGGAAACCAGCTTGCTGCAGTGTCTTTGATCTGGTACAAAAACAACTCAAAGGAATGGAAAACAATTATAGGAAATTACTTTATGTTACAGCGTGTCCTCTAAGTTAAATATAAGGTGTGATGAAAGCAAGACATTGAAACAGATGTCCCAGACTTTTATGTCAGCAGAAATAACATTTTCAGGTAAAAATTGTCAATTTTACCTAAAAGTCCAAAAAAGTAGACTACACATGTCATATATGAAAAAGCATGTATCATAACCATAAATAACACATTTTTCTAAATATATTCAGTCTATTTGAATTATATTTTACACCTTTGCAAGTACACAAAGTAAACCAAAAAAGAGTAAAGATTGTTCACTTCATTTTTTGAAAGTTAACAGTAAGAAGAGGATATTATGCATCCGTGCACATATACTCACGTTGGGTAGACAGCAGGGAGTTCAGTCAGAGGTTCTGCAAAGCAGAGAAGCCAAAGTCCAATGCATTGAGTCTTGCAGTGAGGGATTCCTCTGAGGGAACCTGGGGATTATAGCCCCATTCCTTGGTGGGTGTGCTTTTGTCAACCAACCAAGACACGTTTGAGCTGATATTTCATCCACAGTTGTTCCCTCAATATGGACATTTGAGGACATGTTTCACTGAGACATCACATGTAATGGTTTACAAGAATTACACCAACACCAAGAATTTCATTATTTATTGTCAACTTATGGCTGAGTATCTAAGCATTTCTCTAATTCTCCCTAAGGAGATCAAGCAAACTAGCGAAGCTGGAAGATGGAAATACAGTACAACTAGCTATAAGGCTTAGAAAGTTTTGTTGTTCCGATATACACAAATTCCATCCATTTCTCCAGAGCTCAAATTAGTTTTAAAATGGTTTGATCTTTAACTTTTGTTGAGGTAATACTTAATTACTTTACTTTTCAATCATTTCACTTCCTCGTCAGTTCACAAACTGCTTTGCAGAGGAAGTTCAATTGGTGATGGATCTTGAAATGTAATCTATAACCACAGTAACAGGTGAAATATTTACCAAAGCAATAAAGCATGACAGACAGTGCTTTCACTTTATCGTCATAGTGACATCTACTGGAATGTTGACCAAACTACACTAAGGACTACGCAAAACTGTCCTGAATGTAACAAAACAGATCGGAATAAAATTCCATAGGAAAACATTATACATAATTAATTACTCAAATAATTAATGATAATTTAGGCAAAAAGACCATCCTGGTTAAATCGCACGTCAAATGCTCATTCATATACCTCAATAACAACTCTTCTGTAACATTTCCTGAGAATGCATAGGAACAGGATGAGACCTGTGCTTTGCATTAGGGCTTTGTTCACCCATAACAATGCAACTCTTGTGAAGAGGAGTAATAATGAGTCTCAAGAGGCAACAGAAAACCTGCTACCTCCACCCTTCCGGTCATTTGAGCCAAGTACTAACTACTTTACCATATGGTCAAACCTTACAAAACAAATAGCTATTGGTTGAATTAATCAACCTCGATGATTCAATCTCAGAGTAGGTGACATGCATTATGTGGTGATTCAACATCACATTCTGAGGAACAAAAAGTTACAGTATAGATTTAACACTCCTATCTTTTATTGGTTTTCCAAACATCCCCAACTTTTGATGTCAATTGATTTTGAATCACCATATCTGAAAGGCAGACAGTCAAAAGGATTGTTAATACAGCGATCTAAAGATAATTAGCTGATTGTCAACCAAATATGACCTAAGGCAGGAAAGAAAGATTACAAACGGCCACATTTTTTGAAATAGAAATGTAAATCAGTGCCTGAAAAACTAGTTAAATCTTCCATTTCACATTAAAAACCATTATATACAAATGTTGTCATATAGTAAATGTATAGTAAAATATTGTCGCCATCTGATGAAAAACTAACTCAATTTTTTACTATTTTAATTTTTATTATACATTTATTGAAAGCAGTAACTTCCCTCAATGTACATTTCATGACTAGGGCCAAGAAAGTGTATTCAAAATAGCTTGATGTTTCATAATTTACTTCAACATTACCGAAATGTTTTAGATCGCAAAATAACATTTCATTTAACTGAAGGAAGGCTTACATTTGGCATTGCATTTGGTATGGTTAAGAATTTAAAAAATGGTCATCAAAAAGGATTCAACACCAAATTACATGGATGATGATATGCAACAGGAGACGAAGGCATTAGTAGAAATAAACGACAACATTGTGTATGGAGAAATAATCTGGAGGGGAAATAAACTAGTAATTGTTCCTAATTATCAGGACAACACAAAATAAGCTTCAACTATAAATCTCTCTGGAATGATGATTCTGACATGGCAGACAATGATATACGAAGTGGCAGACATGAGGGATATATAAATATCTCCTAGAACAGGCAAATTCAAAACATGGACCTCAAAGCCAGTTCCACTGCTGATTTTCATTCTTCCCCTCTAATCAAGGACTGATTTAGACCTGGGACACCAGGTGAGTGCAGGTAATTATGAGGTAGAACAGAAAAACAGCAGTACTCCAGGCTTGGATTAAAATACCCCTGTACTAGAATTGTTGTTTAGCTTTAGGATAGGCATTTGTATTTAAAAACTGTTGCGTTAAACAGCAAATGTGCCTACTCTGGTCTTTGCACGTGCCAACAGCTGGCCGATACAGTGCAGGGCAGGCTGTGCAGGTAGGCTAGTCTACATGACATTATTATGGATAAGAGCGATAATCTGTTTATTTGTCAAACTGCATTCAAGCATCGATCATCATGTCACCAGAATAAGACTATTGCTATTTATTGGAAAGGAGCATCAAGATCCCCTTGAACTTGAACCACCCTGTGAAATTCATAATTTATTTCATCTGTAGCCTAATAAACTGCACGGTTTCCCCGAGATGTAGTGGGAGGACCACACACCACATAGTCGCACGACTCCCAAGTTTATTTCGATATGATGATTATGTCAATATTTGCGCATAAAGGCGTTTCCGCTGCCATTTCTCGCATTCATTTTACAGACACAAAAATATCCCACCATGTCGAACTAACAAATAATCTGTCAGCATTTATAAAATTGTACCGAAATGTCTTGTTTCCATCACAACTGTAACATTTTGTTTTTATATTCTATGACTTTATTCCCATGAAAGTTGTGGATGGAAACGTGGTTATTGAGTTTCATAGGGCCACATTCCCAGTTGAAGATTAAGCCCTGTCCAGGACTAAAAAGCATTCTCTGGAGATTCTCCATTGAGCATGCTTTTTAGTCGAGGACTGGGTTTATTCTGTGTCTGGGAAACTGGCCATTAATGTGTTTGTTTCTTACTCCTAAGGCCTGGGGACAACCAAACTGGATGAATGGGTGTTATTGATTCAGTCCCTGAGTAAACCAGACTTGTTACATGATTTAGTGGAAAAACATACCAGTAATAGCAGTTCCTTCAGCAAACCAAGAAACTAGATCAAGAATTGTAAAAATAATTTTTTAAAGCCCTTGCGGAACTGCATCACAGGCACTTACATCCCCTTAGCCAGTACACAGCAACTCAATGCTCCCATTACCCCGGGAATGCCTTTCCTCAGCCCTCACAGAACTCCCCCCCCCCATCAACCCAACAACAGCCCTTCTACTGGGCCAGGAAAGGATATT